GAGGAAGGAAGGGAGGGAGGGAGGGAGGGAGGGAGGGAGGGAGGGAGGAAGGAAGGAAGGAAGGAAGGAAGGAAGGAAGGAAGAGGTCAAGCCAGAACATGACCAGGAAGAGGACAAGAGCTCTCACGGGTGAACTAGCCAACCTAGTCTCCTGCCAGATGAAGAAAGGTTGCAAAAGGGAAGAGAACACATAGGAAGAGGCAACACAGAAGAAGAAAAGTGGCCAAACCAAGGAACCCATTCTCCAGAGAACACCTCAAATGATTCCCTGGAGCCTACTTGGATCTCTTGCCTGCTGTGAAATGTTGTCCTCCAAGCATGTCAGCCATTTTCACCTCCATGAGAGCAGCTGGGACTACTCCCCAGAGACCTTTGGATGGCCTGTGGTGTCCCTCATGGTGGTGGGGGGACGGCATTAGACCCTCACCTGAGATTTCAGCTCCCTGCCTGTACTTCACACCAGCTGAAAGCATTCTGTTCCAGCTGCACATGCTCTCCAGGGTGCTAGAGATTGTGGAGGGTAACTCAAGGTGGGGGGGGCTCCACCTGTCCAGCTTTGGGGGAGTTGTCATCCGTGCTGGGGTGAATTGTCATCCGTGCTGGGGTGAAGCTTTTCAGCAATGTGGCTGTTTAGAGGTGACCTGTGCTCCTATGTATGCTTCTAGAAGCCTAAATAAACTCATTCCTCAACTCAAGTGGTGCTCCTCAGGGAAGCCCACAAAGGAAGAGAGGGAGCTCAGAAATACAGATTCCATACTCCATGGAAAACTGGCCCCTGGCTCTCCCCACCTGGCCCTGTATTCCAGCCCAGCTCTTCAGTCAATGGCCATGTGGCTCCTCTACTGCCATTGAAGGTCTCTTCTCTCCTGGAGGTCACTCTGATTGGGCACTGTGGTGAGGTCTGATGTCACACTCTCCTGACTTCATCCCTCACTCGGAGTCTTCTGTTCCCTGTCGCCCACACGTCAGCCCTACTCTTTCCTGTTGCCACCCTGAGAAGCAGAATGTCCTTCTTGAAAATGAAGTTGAGTTCCACAGGTTACAGTTTGATCCTAGCTCTCCCTTATCTCATGGCTGGTGACAGCGCTGAAGACCTATTGAGTTTGACCAGCACCGCCAGAGGATAAATCCACTGGAATGTCTTTAGGAGGAGGTGCCCTGCTTCTCCAGCCAGCCTGTAGGCTCCAGCTCCTACTATAGCTTGACTTAATAATTAGATTATTGTCTTAAAAAAAGGCAGAAGTCCACTCCTATCCCCCCACTGTCCCTCTCTCACCCTCCATCCTTCAGAAATCATTCGGGAAAATTTCTTGGAATAAGACATTAGATGCAGAAGGCAGATGTTTGGGTCTAATTACTCATGGCCCAAGAGGAAAATGGGCATGGCTGAACATTTTCTGAACATACTGAACTGGAGAAATACTGTACCTGGAGTGGGGTAGAGACACACTAAGTCCCAATGAAGACACCTTTGGGGGAATGGGACACTAAGTCCCAATGAAGACACCTTTGGGAGAATGACACAGTAAGTCCCAATGAAGACACCTTTGGGGGAATGACACACTAAGAACCAATGAAGACACCTTTTGGGGAATGGGACACTAAGTCCCAATGAAGACACCTTTGGGAGAATGGGACAAACTGTCAGAATGGTGACTGTGGTGGCTGTAATGAGAACGTCTCCCATAGACCCAAAGGTTGGAATACTTGGTCCTCGGCTGGTGGAACTGTTTGGGAAGGATTAGGAGGTGTGGCCTTGTTGGAGGAGGTGTGTCATCGGGGGTGGAATTTGAAGTTTCAAAAGGACCCCTGCGATTTCCAAAGGACCCCTGTGATTTCCAGTGCTCTGATTCCATGTCCTACTTGTGGATCAGATATGAGCTCTCAGCTACTGCTCCAGCACCATGCCTGCCTGCCTGCTGCCATGCTCCCTGCCAGGATGGCGATGAACTCTAACCCTCTGAAACTGAAAGCCCCAAACAAACTCTTCTGTAAGTTGCTTTGGTCATTGTATCTTCTCACAGCAATACACACATAAGAGAGTGGCCGACCAACCACTGCTTCTTAGACAAAAAGAGCTCATGATTTACTGTTATAAGATATTTTAAGCTGAGACCTTCTTTATCATGAAAATGGCGTCAGCATGGCAAACAGGATCCCCAAAAATGTCCCCTTCCCTTGGTACACACCTCAAAACACTCAGGACAATCCTGCTTCTGTTGTGGCCCCCTAATTCCATCAGGCTCTTGTGATTACTGTCAGAACTTTTTTTTTTTTAATGTGAATTGGTGTTTTGCTTGCGTGTATGTCTGTGTGAGGGTGGAAGATCCCCTGCAACAGGAATTACAGACAGATGTGAGCTGCTATGTGGGTGCTGGCAATTCCTCCGGAAGAGCAGTCAGTGCTCTTAACCGCTGAGCCATCTCTCCAGCCCCTGATAACAGTTGGAAAGCACACCATGCCTCCCTCACCCCTGGAGTTTCATGTCACCTGAGGGATGTGTGTGAGCTGAACACTACTGGCTTCTACTTCCACAAGGGGGAGGAGCCACAGACTTGGAAGGAAAATCTGGACAGGGGCGTCCCTTTCTCCCTACTCTCTGTTCTGCCCTAAACTCAGGGCAGTGGGTCCTGCTACTGTCCTGCATCAGCAGGCTGCCCTAGCCAGCATCGCCTACCACAAGGCCACGAAAGGCATCTAATTCAGGGTTCAGACTTGGGCGGCCCACTTGCTCAATGATGTCGTCTCTCCAGTGGCAGGCTGGGATGAAGAGAGGCAGTGGTTGGATTTTACACATCTGTTTTCCCGTCTTCTCCTACAGATGGCTTTGTGCTGTGCACATCAAATCCCAGCAGCCCGGTTTAGCTGGGCTACTTACATCCCAAAAGGAGAAGATAGGTTGCTTCCTTTGAACAGGCTCGGTGATCTGATACTCCCGGAATCCCCTGAGGCCTTGGCGGAACATCTTACATACTCGAATCATTACGATTATGTCCATGGTGAGCTGGTACAGGCCCTGTGGAAACAGTGAACCAGGTCAATGAAAGTCATCTGCCCTCGGGCTGGGCAGCTCCAAAGAGGGCAGAATTGAATGGGATGAAAGGTAGTGATGTGTTGGAACAGTGGTTATACAGTCAGAAGTTTAGCTTTGGAGGTTGGGGGGTGCTGGGGTGCTGGGGATTAAGCCTAGGGCCTTGAGCATGCTAGACATGAGCTCTACCCACTCTCTCAGGAAGTTTGAAAACCAGTTGAAATTTTGTTGGTAGCTTTAAACTAACTGACCCAGGGTAGGGGTAGACACTCAGGGCATCCTTCTCACCAGGAGCCAATTGTTAAATACAGTGCACTACTTGTTTTTATTTTTGTGGAGAAAATAAAGAATACAAGTAACTATGTGTGTGTGTGTGTGTGTGTGTGTGTGTGTGTGTGTGTGTGTGTGTGTGTGTGCTGGGGCACGGGTAAGCTATACAAAACTGTGGAATCAGAGGAATCTGAAGGGAAAATGGTCAATAGGGTCCAATACTGAGGAAAATGTCATAAGTGAAGAAAATTGTGTGGCCCTAGATGCAGAGGTATCCAAGACCTCTGGATTGGATTCTCTGGAACCTTGCAAAAGCAAGCAGGCCTGCTGACACTGATTCTCTTTTGTTCAGTTATTAGTGCACTATTTGCCTGTTTGCTGATTAAATTTTGGGCCTTGCATCTGCTAGGTAAAGACTCTACTACTGAACCATATTTCCAACTTCTGATGCCATGATTTTAGCCCAAGTTGACCTCTACTATATTGAAGGCTAAATACAGCTGCATTATCTTAAGTCATTAAATTGTAGTGATTTGGGGCCAGCATGATGCTTGGATCAGTGGGTAAGGGCAATTGATGACAAACTCAAAGACTTGAATTTGACACTCAGACCTACAGGATGAAGGAAGAGAACCGACTTACACAAAATGTCCTCTGAACTCCACATGGGCAACGTTGCATGCACACACAGGAGCATATACACACAAATAAATAAATATACACATACGTAAATAAATGTAATTTAAAAATTAAATTGTGGTGGTGTGTTACATCAACAATAGAAAGCTGGGGTTGGAGAGGTGGCTCAGAGGTTAAGAGCACTGGCTGCTCTTGCAGAAGTCCTGAGTTCAGTTCCCAGCAACCACATGGCAGCTCACAACCATCCATAATGAGACCTGGTGCCCTCTTCTGGCCTGCAGGCAAAGCACTGTATTCATAATAAACCTTGAAGAAGAAAAAAAACAATAGAAAGCTAATATCTAATCTAAGATGAGCCATCTGTCATTTCCCAGGGGATGTGAAATTGGACTGAGGACAAACAGGCCATCCATCTGCTGGGGATGTCTTTCTATATACTGTGAATGTGTTTCTCTGATTGATTGATTGATAAATAAAACACTGATTGGCCAGTAGCCAGGCAGGAAGTATAGTATAGGCAGGACAAGCAGAGAGGAGAATTCTGGGAAGTGGAAGGCTGAGTGAGGAGATGCTGCCAGCTGCTGCCATGAGAAGCAAGATGTAAAGATACCAGTAAGCCACAAGCCACGTGGCAAGGTATAGATTTAGAGAAATGGGTTAATTTAAGATGTAAGATCTAGCTAGCAAGAAACCTGAGCCATTAGGCCATATAGTTTAATTAATATAAGCCTCTGTGTGTTTACTTGGGTCCAAGTGGCTACAGGACTGGCAGGTGAGAGAGATTTGTCCTGACCACAGGCCAGGTGGGACACAGGAAAACTTCAACTACAACTACATCCATCCCTAACTGAATTCGGGAGTCAGGACAGACATCTACTAGCCAAGCAAATGTGTAGGATGGGGGGCATCCAAAATGCAGAACAATCTAAAAGCCAAGCACTCATCCAGGTCTTCCCAAAGTCAATCTCCTGAGGAAAATAAGGAATGGAGGATGTTTTAGATTCTAAAACTTAGAAGAAAAATTTAAGAGGCATTTTCTTGAGCCTTTGAGTCCATGGTAACAAACTACAAAGGGAGGGAGTTCAGTTGGTGAAGCACCTACTGCACAAGCGTGAGGATCAGTCTCCAGAGCCCACATCAAGAAGCTGGGTGTGATGGCACATGCTGGTGATACCAGCTCAGAGGAGATGTAGATAGGCATATCCTGGGTGTCTGTGGCCAGCCAGCTTGGCACACTCCAGGCCAGTGAGGGACCATGTCACACACACACACACACACACACACACACACACACACACACACAGATGGTGCTTCAGCAACAACACCTTAAATTGACCTCTGACCTCTACACATACGTATACACATATGCATCCACACTGATACACATTTTTTTTAAAGAATGGTCTCACTGTGTAGCCCCAATTGTCCTGGAACTCGCTATGTAGATCAGGCTGACCTCAAACTTACAGAGATCCACCTGCTTCTATCTCCCAAATGTAGAGATTAAAGGTCTATGACACCACACACAGGTTATACACACATACTTCAAAATTATCTATCTATCTATCTATCTATCTATCTATCTATCTATCTATCTTATGTGCATGGGTGTTTTGTCTGAATGTGTGTCTGTGTACCATGTGTGTGCCTGGTGTTCACAGAAGCCAGGAGATGATGGAATTACAGGGAGAGAAATGACAGAATTATAACATAACCTCAAAAATAAAAGAAATAATTTTAAAGTGCTTCATTAGCAATATTAATGCTTACTGGGTATAATTTACTATCATCTGGCCATTATTCTTCAGCAGTAAATTCATGTAGATGCTAACATTATTGCTCTTTACAGAAGAGAAAAACAGTACAACAGACCCAGTTATGTGCCTAAGGTCCCATGACTGGTAGGTGGTGGGCATCTAAACCTGAGCAGCCTGCCTCCAGAGTCCATAGCTAACCCTCTTACCCTCCTTCGCTGCCCTGCCTCATTTCTTCTCTCTGTTCCAGAAAGAATAGGTAAGAACATGGCTTCCAAGCTCACCCAGGGGTAGAAGGCCAGAGAGCGGGAACCATAGCTCAGTCCTGAGCCTCTCTGGGGCTTCCCTTCTTTGTGCCAAGCTGTGAATCTGAGAGGTACAGGGTGCCACCACTCATCTGAGGCCTCCGCCACACCTGCTTCCTTCTTCCTCTATGCCTGCTCCTTTAAATCTTCTGCTCAGGAATTCCCTCCCAGAGCCCGTGACCGGCCTCACCTCCGCCATCTTCAGGACCTTCCAGCTAGGAGAAAACTTACATCTCTTCATGGTTCCTAAGTTGGCAAATGGTACAAATGGACCGTTTGCCTTTCACAGGGAGGACAAGAAGTCGTCCCCTATGGGTCGCTAAAGTAAAAACAAACAGCTTCCCTCAGTGGCAAAGCAGTAGCTGCTGCTCCTCACTCCACACACCCTGCCAACAGCTGCTGGAAGCCTGATTCCAAGAAAACCGTATTCTGAGAATCTACTGATGTCACAAGCGAAAATTCTGGAGGGAAGAGGAGGTAACGGTATATCAGGATCTAATATTTATTGAGCTAACATGGGTGTTATCCTTGCAGCCCCCATGAGGGACCTTAAACCCAACCCTATTCATGAAGACACTAGGGCTCAAAGTGCATAAACAACTTCCAGGGTTATGGAAGCATCTTGAAAAAGGGAAAAGTTTTGCAGCCCCAGGTAAGAACAGTCAACTTTCAGCTCAGCGATACTGAGACTGAAGAGACACTAGGGCATGGGCCCCATGGCTTTGTTCTGGAAGTCACGATGAAGCAGTACAATCAGGAAATCCTTCAACCAGCTACAAGATCAGGTGGCGAAAGGACCTTGTTAAAGTAAATGACTCTGTGGTCCTAAAAGCAGAGAAGAAAAAGACGGCAATCATAGTCCAACACTCTCCTAGGGAGCTCTACTCCCTGAGAACAACTATTACTTCAATTTGTTTTTACATTAAGATCCTCAGTGAAAAACTGGAATTGCAAGTATCACATGACACATCATCCTTTCTTTCCATCCAATAGAGAAAATGAAGAGCACTGAACTTAGAGAAGACAGCCAGAACAAAGTCCTAGACTGGAGAGCTGGAGGTGTGGCCCGGCAGAGCATCTGCCTAGCATGCATCTAAAGGAGTCCTAGTAGACCTTATTCATACACACACACACACACACACACACACACACACACACACACACTGAGTACACACAGTACACAGAGAACTAAGGAATGATAAGAATAAGGTCTGTGGACGTATACTTATATTAGTTCCCTGGTTTTGATACTGGATTATATTATGCAAGACATTACTGCTGGGGAAACTAGGTGAAGAATACGAGACCTCTCTGTACTACTTTGTGGTGGTTTGAAAGAAAATGGCCCCCATAAGCTCACAGGGAGTTGCTGTGGGATAATGCTTTTGTACACTGTAAAGATTTGTCACTCCTATTGGCTTAATAAAATGCTGATTGGCCAATAGTCAGGCAGGAAGTATAGGTAGGGTGACCAGACTAGGATAATCCTGGGAGAAGGAAAGGCAGAGACGGAGTCGCCAGCCAGACACAGAGGAAGTGAGATGAGAATGCTGGACTGAGTAAAGGAACCAAACCACGTGGCTAAACACAGACAAAAATTATGGGTTAATTTAAGCATAAGAGCTAGTTAGCTATAAGTCTGAGCAATAGACCAAAACAGTTTGTAATTAATATAAGCCTCTGGGTGTTTACTTGGGACCAAGCAGCTTCGGGACACAGGAAAACTTCCCTCTACAGGGAGTGGCAACAGCACTATTAGCAGGTGTGGCCTTGCTGGAAGAAGTGTGACTAAGTCTTCTATGGTGATATCTTATTTGTACTGAAATGTGGTTTTATTTGTATGTTAATAAATACAGTTACCCGGGGGTCAGAGCTATTAGAGCCATAGCAAAAGCTGGGCAGTGGTGGTGCACACCTTTAATCCCAGCACTTGGTAGGCAGAGCTAGGTAGATCTCTGTGTGTTCAAGGATACAGCCAGCATTGGAGACACATGCCTTTAATCTCAATACCAACCAT